TGTACAAATGCACTTTACACAATTGATGTGTGTATGGATTGCGATAACAGTTGTATGAGCCCCTAATAAAATGTTTAAAATAAAAAAAAAGAAGTTAATGGGCAACCCTGAAATAAAAAATAAAAAAAGAATGCCCTGGCAATCTACTGCTATAAGACTACAGCTAGTAAGAGAACCTGCAGCACACTACTCTGAAACACATGAAAAGCCAGGAGTGGAAGTCCACTTGACAACAGTGGGTTTTGTTTATTGGCTTGTTTATGGTCTCCTACCCCCTTGCCAGGCTGAAGAAAGCCCACCTGTGATTTCTAAGTGCCTTTATTCCACAGAGAATCAACTGACCTTCGGGTTGGAAGGCAGTTCTGAGGGCACTGCACTTCAGCCCCTGCCTGAAAAGGGAAGGGTGTGGATACTAGGCAATGATGAACAGATACATGAGAGACCAGCACCAGAGGCAACACACAGGCACTCAAAGGGGCTCCGCAGGGGAGACCACTCGCACAGGTATTAGGGGGAGTTTTTGTGGATGCAAAGCCACACTAACGGTCAACAACCTCAGTGAAGAAGTGACCGTTTCTGGAATAACCCAGAGGGCCTGGAAGGGAGCGTGCTCAAGGGTTGCACAGAGTTAACAGGGGTGGTGGTGGTGGTGGCTGCCATCGAGTCAGCTCCGATCCATAGTGACCCGATGCCCAACAGAAGGAAATCCTGCCCAGTCCTTCCACACCCTCACATGTGTTCCTGTGCCTGAGCCCATTGTTGCAGCCATGGTGTCCATCCATCTCATTGAGGCCCTTCCTCTTTTCCGCTGCCCCTCCACTTTACCAACCACGACGTCCTTCTCCATGAGGTCTCTCCTGACAACATGTCCAAAGTCTGTGAGGAGAAGTCTTGTCATCCTTACCTCTAAGGAACACTCTGACCATCTGTCTTCCAAGACAGATCGATTTGTCCTTTTATCAGTCCACAGTACTTTCAATATTTACAGGTGTGAAAGGAGGGAACACCCAGAGAGAATGTGAACAAACTTGGGCTCAGTCTTTAATAGAGCCTGGTTACGTGTTTGACTGCTAACCATAAGGTCAGCAGTTCGAAACCACCAGTCACTACTCAGGAGAAAGATGGGGCTTATTGCTCCCGTAAGGTGTGAGAGCCTTGGAAACCCACAGGGGCTGTTCTACCTTGCTTTACCGGCTAGCTAAAAGTCAAAATCAACTCAAAGATAGTGAGTGGGGAAGTGAAGGAGTACACTTTACCTCGCAGGCTTAGTGACGGACAGATGATTTAGGGCCATTGGAGGTACAGGGACATGAATCTGGCAGGGATGGCCACAGTGCACACTCTCCTTCCTTTGGTAGAAGAGCTGATCAGCCTCATGTCTGCAGCAAGCCTCAGCCTAGTCATGTGCTAAGGGTCAACATGCATCTCTCTTGTGCAGTGCTCCGGAAGCTCTGCAGCCTGGACAACGGGGGCTGTGACCAGTTCTGCAGAGAAGAAGAGAACTCAGTGGTATGCTCCTGTGCCACAGGATACATCCTGGGGGACAATGGCAAGTCCTGCATCTCCACAGGTAGGAAGAACATCGGCAGCTGCACCATGGGAGGCCCCCTGGGTCGGGTCTGAGGGAATCAAAGGCAAGACCACCCTGAGCATTCTGGCAATGTAGGGCCCGGGAGATTAAGAGCAGTCAGAGCTCTGGGCTCAGGACTTTGTGTTCAGAGATGAAGACTGAAAGGTTTGGAAGCGAATACGGCCACAGTAACACTGCCCCCACAGGGCAATCAAGGCTGTGACCTCTGGGCAGCAGATTGCCAACTCTGTCTTCTGAGGTGCTCCAGGGTGGGATTGAACCACTGACCTTTCAGCTACTAGTTGAGTGCTTAACCATTTACACCAGCTAGGGAAGCCTGTCTGAAACATGAGAAGCAGGGGATTACCTTGGTGAGTGAGAAAATCATTGATCCGAAGCATTTTGCATAGTGCCCAGCACACAGTCAACTCCACATAACTGAATAAATCATTGTCAGGATGACCTGCCTGCCCCATGCAAAGGGCAGCTAGGATCCCCTGGCCCTCCATGGACTTTATGGGATGGCAGGGAATATGGTGAGTCAAGGCGTGCTGTGACTAAGAGGGAATCTCTTGCTGGTGCCAACAGCTTAGTGCTCAGCTGCTAACCCAAAGGTTGGTGGTTCAAGTCTAGACAGAAGTACCTCAGAAGAAAGACCTGGCCATCTACTTCCAAAAGTGCAGCCACCGAGAACCTTAAGGGGCCTGGTTCTGCTTTGACACACAGGCAGAGAGAGGAGGGACCCCGCACATTTGATCATCAGGTGGTGTGAACAAGTCAGACAAATTAGGTTGCCCCAGTGTGTCTGAAATATATGTCCTTTTCTTTTATTAAAAGCCAGACTCTCATAAATCTGGCTTCCCACAGGATGAAAAGTAAGCCAGGGAACTGAGCAACTGCATTTCTAGGCCCCTGGGAGAGGATGAGTTTCCTGCCTCTAGGAACAGTAATAGAGGTCTCGTAGCATAGTGGTTATCCATTGGATTGCTGTGTTAGTCTGGGTAGACTAGAGAAACAAATCCACAGAAATTCACATATGTATAAAAGAGGTTCTTTTTAATATTTCAAATACTTTTATGTAGATGTATATAAATTAAAAGTTTTATATAAAGGGTAAGTGTTCATTCAGAAAGCATCCCAACCCCATCCAATCCAACCCCATAAATCCGACTTAGCCTGTATGTCCGACACCAATTTACAAAGTCCTCCTCAATCTCACAAAATACACACAATGGTGCCAACTGCAGGATGAAAGCCGAATCAGTGAGCATGTAAGCATTTCAGCACTGGCAGGGGTCTCCACACAGCTGCTCCAGCACTCAGGGCTGCATCAGCGTAGATCCCTGTGGCTGCTCCTCAGGAATGTCTCACAGGAAGTGTGCCTTGCTAGCTGAAGGCAGCTGCACCCTGGTCCGACCATCAGACAGCAAGAGACCCGAGAGCTAGAAAGGCGAGGCTCACCAAGCCATTTATCTCTCCGCCCTTCCATTAACCCCACATGTGTTCATCGGCCAGGTTGGTATAATAAACCTTAACTATTTCAGTTGCTAATCACAAGTACAGCAAAGTGAAATCACCTGTCACTTCATGGGAGAAACATGAGGTTTTCTGCTCCCCTAAAACATCTATAGTCTCAGAAAATGCACAGGGGCATTCTGCCCTACAGGGTCGCTATGAGTTGGAATCCATTCAATGGCAGTGAATGAAATGTATTATATTTCAAAATATAATGTTCCCCTTGACAGGCTTTATTCCATTCAGAGACTTTGTAACTCCTAAACAGTTCTTTCATTATTTCTCTTATCACATTGTTTCTTCAGGATCGTTTAGAAGGTTTCCTTCGGAAAGATACTAACCCAAACCCTTTGTCATCAAATGGATTCTAACTCATAGCGACCCATACGACAAAGTTGAACTGTCTCATAGGGTTTCCAAGGCAGATGCCTCAGTTTTCTCCCAGAGAGAGACTGGTGGCTTCAAACCACCAACCTTGGTTACCAGCCAAGTGATAAACACTGAACCACCAGAGCTCCTTGAAAAGACAAAGAATCAAAAAGTATTCTTTTTAATAAATTGACTCCAAATATAATGATCAAGTATGACTTCAATTATGTAGTGCTAAATCTCTCAACACATTAAAGATCATGCCTCTTACAGTTGTATTAATAACAAAACCTTACATTTCAACTGGTATAGAAATATTTGGATTGGCCACTTCTTCAGGTGAGCATGCAATGTTTTTAAATTCCAAGAGTAACCACAAAACTATTTCAAATAAAATCTGATTTGGAAAATAAAACTAGAACAGCCTCCTAGTGTGTGAAAGGTTTTGTTCAAAATCCTGGGTGAGTTAATTAAGCATTCAAAGGACTGTGATTTCACTGACTAACCTCCTCTGCTATCCACAGTTAAGGTCAAGAGGGTGTTAGCTTAGGCTAACAAGCTTGCCAGGCTCTATGGGAAGAAAAGGCACTGCTTCCAGGTCATGGATACCCACAAATACCAAACTGAATAATATTGAAAAACACCAAAACCAAAATCAAACTCAATGCCATCGAGTCGATTTCGACTCACAAAGGCTAGTGGTTTCAAACTGCTGACCTTGTGGTTAGCAGACCAATGTGTAACCCACTATGCCACTAGGACTCCTATTAGAAAAACATAAGCCACTTCAAATCTCTTTTCACATAGGTTGTTTCCTACTGTCTCTCATGGACCCTCTGCCCTTTCACACACACCCTCTCCCCACTGCCTCCTTCCCTCGGCCACTGGCTTCCTTCTTCCCACATCCCCTTCCCACCCTCCTTCCCCTGCCCTATTTTGCCTTCCTCTCTGGCATATTTCCTTCCTAATGGGTGGTTCAACAGGAAGGCACCTTTCAGAGAATCCCTCTTGGGTGTTTTAAGGGTAGCACCCTGGTGACAAACGAGGTTCAACTGAAAGGTTGGGGTTCAAACACCCTCAATGACACCTCGGAAGACAGGCCTGGTCCTAGGGTTCACAAAGGCTACACTCAGCCTTGGAAACCCTCAGGAGCCGTTCTGTTCTGCACATAAGGCATTGTCATGAGTTGAAATCGACTGAGTGGCAACCAACAACAACGGTTTGGGTTTGGATTTTTTTGAACGGTTTTATGGACCAGTAGGTAACATAAGAAACAGAGAAGAGATTGGAGTTATTAAGGATTTTTCTGGCTTGGATACGCACTAAACGCTCATACAATCAGCAGTCTAGAAACCAGGCAAGGCATTGTATTGGGTAAATCTGCTTCGCAAAACTTCTTCAAAGTGTTGAAAAGCAAGTGTTACTTCAAGCACTAAGGTGCACCTGACCCAAGTCATGATATTTTCAATCACCTCCTATGTGTGTAAAAGTTGGACATTGAATAAGGAAGACCGAAGAAGAACCGATGCATTTGAATTATGGTGCTGGTGGAGAAGCTTGAAGGGACCCGGGCCTGTTGAAAGAACAAACAAATGTGTCTTGGAAGAAATATAGCTAGAATGCTCCTGAGAAGCCAGGATGGTGAGACTTGGTCTCACGTACTTTGTACGTGTCATCAGGAGAGACCAGTCCCGGGACAGGGCCATCGTGCTTGCTAAAGTTGGATAGCAAAAAGAAGATCCTTGATGACTTGGATGACACAGTGGCTGCAACCACGGACTTAAACATCACAATGCTTGTGAGGCTGGGGTAGGAGCGGACAGTGTTTCGTACTGTTGTGCACAGATAGGGTCGCTCTAAGTCAGAAGGGACTCAGGGGCAAGTAAAAATAACAATGACTTTACCAAACATAATGCCATGCTTGGTCTACTGGAGAATGAATAATTTGTGTGATGTAGAGAGAGATGTTTGCTTTGCTTCACGGCCCGGCCTGTTGTTTTTCTCGTAGAGCCATTCCCCTGTGGAAAACGGACCTTGGCACGAAGAAAGCGGTCACTGGCAGAGGCTGATGACAGTGAGACACCCCCAGAAAACTCCACACTGGAGGAGGACTACCAATATGACTTCCCTCCAACAGAGAATCCTCTCCCACTGCTGGACAACAATCAGACACATCCTGAGGAGAATGACAGAGATTTTGTGCGGATCGTGGGTGGGAACGAGTGCAAACCTGGGGAGTGTCCGTGGCAGGTAACTATGGTTGAGTCTCCGCTGTGACGTAGCATATGTCCCAAAGGGAAAACGTGTATTCAGTGTAATGGTCAAGTACTCGACTATTAGCCAAAAGGTTGTAGGTCTGAACCCACCCAGAGAACCATCGTAAGAGAGGCCGGCCAATCTGCTTCCCAAGGGTCACAGCCTTGAAAGTCCTCAGGGCTAGTTCCACTGTGCACACATGGGTCACCAAGAGTTGAGATCTACTTGAGGGGAGCTAACAACAACAGCACAGAGCCTGGCAGATGCAAAGATGAGACATCAGATCCCAGTCCACTGGGAACTCGAGATGTAAGAAGACACGGGTATGCACTAGAAAGGAGGTAACCTCACACATTCTCAAGCACACCTGCGTATCTCCTCTGTCCACACTACTGTGGTTTCTAGGGGTTTAAGCACTGGATGGAGGAGTGCTGAGAGGCCAGGTTAAGGGGAGGAGCTGTGAAGAGAAGTTCAACAATTTCTCCCTTCCCACAGTGTCACCCTTTCCAATGAAGTTTTGTTTTGTTTTGTTTTTTAATTGAGCCCTGGTGGGCCAAAGGAGCCCTGGTGGTGCTGAGTTAGGCATTGGACTGCTAGCCCCAAAGTCCATGGTTCAAACCCACCAGCCATTCTTTGGAAGAAAGATGAGGCTGTCTGTTCCTGTAAAGTTGTACAGCCTCAGAAACTCTGTAGAGGGTGGCTAGAAGTCAGAATCAATTCCAGGGCAGTGAGTTCCTGCCCAGGATTATACTATGCTCTGGGAAGACGGGAAGAGAATGGAAAGGCAGCTCTTCTTACACTACAAGGAGCGGGGATTCGAAACCAAATGATCACCCAGTAGCTCAAACTGCACATTGTAATCCACAAGGCAGAGGGTAGCTTTCGCCAGCACAGGAGAGGGGCTCTGTTCTTCTGTTTGACTGGGGGCAGAAGGATTCATTCTCCTTCATGCATGCCTAATTTGGTGGGGGGGGTTTAATCCAGACACCTCAATCCTAAGAAGGCTAGTTCCCTAGTAAGAAGTATATCCATTTTCCGAAGCAACCCACTCTATTAATTATCAACTTGGATTTGGGTTGTCCAGATTAGAATCATCAATTAAATTTAAATTTCAGATAAACAAAGTTTTGCTTTGTTTTGTTTTGATTTTAATCAGGGTATGTCCAGGAGATAGTTGGCATACATTTGTTCTAATATATATATATGTATATTTGCTGTTTATTCAAATTCAAATTTAACTTACTTCCAGCTATAGAGCAGAGTAGAACTGCCCCTGTGAGTTAATGAGACTATTACTCTTTATGAGAATAGAAAGCCTTATCTTTCTCCCAAGGAGAAGCTCATATATACATATATATATACAGTTGTATTGGGGCATAATCCAAATATCATACAATTCAATAGTTCCATCATCTCAAGAAGTGTTGTACAATCATTACCATTGTCAATTTTAGAACATTTTCTTTTTTCTTGTGTGCCTTGTTATTAGTTCTCCATTTTCTCCCAAACTCCCTGCCTTACCCCCAAGGAACCATTAATGCAGTTACTGTCTATAGAATCACCCATCCTGGATTTCATATACTGAAAAACATAGAAAAATACAAAACAAAGTGTCAAAAAAATAACAATAAAATACAAAAAAAGAACACTAATAACAGAATAAAATACAAAAAAACAGTTGGAAAGAAAATATTAAAAACTAGATCAACTTTAAAATGAGTTAAAAGGGAGATCAAATGATAAGATGTTTAGATTTAACCTCACTATATCTATCATATTCCACTTTCCAATGCATTCTTTATGAGAGCAAGGCTAGTCACATCCCTGGAACTATGTTCACAGAGGATTCACTAAAGGCTTTCATCCACATGTATCTCCCTTTCACTTTTTTTTTAACTGCTAGAACTTTTAGATATGCAAAAAAGGGGATCAAATCAGATGTTGCATTTTAACCTACTTTAATCCTCTCTACAATACACTCTGTCTGAAAACCAGGCTATTCACATCCGTGGACTATGGTAAAGGGAATGGTTTGGGGCTTCCACTGTTATCCATAGCCTTCTGTGTTCTTGACCTATACATACTCCCAAACAATAACTATTACTTTAAAAAAAACAAAACACTAACTCACTGCTATCAAGTCGATGCGGACTCCCTGTGACCCTATAGGACAGGATAGAACTTCCCCTGTGAGTTTCTGAGGCTGTAACTGTTTGTGGGAGTAGAAAGCCTTGTTTTTCTCCCACAGAGAGGCTGGTGGTTTTGAATCGCCAACCTTGCTGATCGCTAAGCCACCAGGTTCCTTAAATATTACTTAGAAGATGCCAAATTCCCTAGAGAAGGGGGAATTAAAATGCTTTATTCCTGATTTCCAAAGGTAACTTTTGGGGAGAAGATGGAGAAGAAGAAAATGCTCTCGGGTGCCTTTCACCTGCACTGTCAGGGCTGTTTCTTTGGTGGAATAGTCTTCATGCCTAAGATTTTCAGGCAAGCCTATTCAGGAGGGTTCCAAAGCGATTTCCCTTTACTGGTGGCATTTGTGCACCTTGAAAAATAGGTTTGAAAGTTAAACCATTCCAAAGACTGGGATGTCACATTCGCTTCAGCAAATGTTTGTCTGAAGACCAACATCAGCCTAGTCGACCACATAAATCATAAGCATGTAGACAACAAAGGTGATGACCACAGGGGAAAAAAGTTTTCCAAAACACTTGAAAAATATTCCTAGCACTTCAAAAATACACGGACAGGCTCAGAAGAAATAGAAAACAAGTATCAGTCAGGTGACTTTATAGTACAGGTAGAGAACAACATAAGTAAACTATGAAAGAACCATCCTCAAGTGGCCTACCACTGGGCACTTAACAGGACCTCGGTAATTGTTAAATAAAGAAAAAGCCAGTCAGTGAGTTGGTACATAAATCAAATTCGAAGCAGGGTTATGGACCCACTTAAACCCATGCTGTAGAGATTCAAGGAGTGGGTTGGGGGGTTAGAGTTTGGGGACAGTCCCGGGGAGGTAAATCATGACTGATACTTGAAGAAAGTGCAGCAGCTGGATTGGAAGAGACTGCAGGTGGAGTGGCTTACAGGATACCCAGGAATGAGCAAGATTAGAAAAAGGTCTGCTGGGCTGGAACGGGGTTGGGCCTGTGCTGCATTGAGTCCATTCTGACGCGTAGTCATCCTATAGGACAGGGTAGACCTGCCCCTGTGAGTTTCCAAGACTGTAACACTTTACAGGAGTAGAAAGCTTCATCTTTCTCCCTTGGAGCAGTTGGTGGTTTCTAATAGCTGGCAGTTGGTGGTCTCTAACAGTTAGCAGTCCAACACTTAATTACTCTGCCTCCTGAAAGAGTTAGTTATGTGGAAAAAATGGAATGAGTCAGTTGGGTTCTTCCATGGAGTCTAGGTTTGATTCCAGGGGCAAGAGGAGAAGTCCACACGTTCTCAAAGAGAGGACAGGATAACAGAGAGCAGGATGGAAAAGAAGGTAGCAGACTAGCTGACAGGTATGAGGTGAGAGGTGACAAGAGCAGGGTGAGGCCAGAGAAAGGACAAGGAAGGCTTGAATCAAGGAGATGGTGAGGGACATACATGACAAAGGACTTTGGATATGGAGGCTCTCTTTGAAATTCCTCTTCTCAGAAACTCAAAAATAACCTGGCCTGCTTTGGCAGACTAAGCTGTTCCCAAGCTCTCGCTTGGCTTTGCAAAAACAAGTCTGGAATCACTGACTTTCCCCTGTAGGCTTTACTCGTCAATGAGGAAAACGAGGGGTTTTGTGGAGGCACCATTCTGAATGAGTACTACATCCTCACCGCGGCTCACTGTCTCCACCAAGCCAAAAGATTCAAGGTGAGAGTAGGTAAGTGACTGCCTTCAATGCTCTCTTCAGGGACCGTGGAAAGGGGTAACTGCTCTATCACATCATGGTTAGAAACCACTAACCCACTACCACCAATTCTGACTCATAGCCACTCCCTAAGAAGGACAGTATAGAACAGCTCCTTATGGCTTCCAAGGCTGTCAATCTTTATGGGAGGAGATGCGAGGAGTCCAACATCCTCACCTCTCCCCAGTGGAATGTCTGCTGCATTAGAACCACTAGAACTCACAAATCAGCAGCCTTGGCGATGCTGATTAAGTGTTCAGATACTAACCCAGAGGTGTGTGGTTAGAACTCAGTCAGAGGCTGCACAAGAAAAAGGCCTGGCGATCTGCTACCATAAATATTATGGGCTAGAATCCCCTACCGGGGAATTTCACGTTGTTGCATGGAGTCTCTATGCGTCAGAATCAACTCAATGACACCCAGCAACAATGATGGAACGAACACAATCACTGACAATGATAAAATACTCAAATCCTGTGGAGGTTCCTAGAAGGGAAGGAAGACGAGAGTGTAGAGAAAGGAGCTGTCCTCTGGTCTCCATGTGCAGCATGAGCCTCCTTCAACTTCCTCTCAGGTGGCTTTTCCTTGGGGAAGCCTTCCATACCTCCCTGACTAGCTTAACGTTCTCTGAGCTTCAAGGACCTTTTCCTCTGATCTTTATTTTGGGGTTCTTTGTAGTAACTTTATGTTTCTCTAAGGAGCCCTGGTGGCACGAGGAGCTAAGCATTGGGCTGCTTGCAGTAAGTTCATTAGCTCACACCCACAAGTAGCCCCAACGGAGGAAAATGAGGCTGTCTGTCGACCACTGTCAAGAGTCCATCCCAGAAACCCTAAGGAGCGGTTCTGCTCTGTCCCGTTGGGTAGCTAAGTGGGAATCCACTCGCTGGCAGTGAGTTTGGGTCTTCCCCTGCCGGACTCCCTAACAAGGCTGTCCAATAATAGATGTAAGGGAATCCACAAATTCGAGCCACATGCCCATTTAGATTTTCTACTGGCCACATTACCAAGTTGAACACATTAACATCAAGTCCATTTCAACTCATACTGACCCCTATATAGAATATCTGAGTTTGTATATCTTTATGGAAGTAGACAGCCTCATACAGAGCAGCTGGAGAGTTTGAGCTGCCAATCTTACGCCCAAAATATAACCCACAGCACCACCAGAGCTCTTTCGTAGCCATACTAAAATAAGATTTTTAAAAGGTAAAATTAATCATCTGATTTAACCCACGATATCCAAAATAAGTCATCAAGATTTTAGAGTATAAATGCGCTGTTTTGTACTCTTTTTTTCAGACTAAGTTTTGAAATTTTACACAGAGCACATTTCAGTTCAGACTATCCCATTTCAAGTGTTCTGCTGACACAGGGCTGGTGGCACCCCTTTGGACTTGCAGGTCTAGAATTTAGGAACCTGGTGAGAAGGGGCCATATAGGTGTTTTGTTTTTGTTATTTTAGCTCACCAACAGCTAGCACAGTGCCTAGCACACAACACATTTTCAGAAAGTGTTTGTGAAAGTTATGGAGTTGAAAATATCTCAAGTACTACATATATACACAAAGTAATACTTACTCCTAGAGAGTGCAATGAAAGGTCATTTCTATTTGCTTCTTTATGCGTTCTCTGCTTTTCAAATGTTCTGCAGCAGTGGTTCTCAACCTTCCTAATGCCTTGACCCTTGAATACAGTTCCTCATATTGTGGGGACCACCCCCAACCATAAAATTATTTTCGTTCCTACTTCATTACTGTCATTTTGCTACTGTTAGGAATCAGGTGACCCTTGTGAAAGGGTTGTTGGACCCCCAAAGGAGTCACGACCCACAGGTTAAGAACCGCTGTTCTACAGGGACTGCTTTTCAATCAGGGTCAGGAGGTAGGGAAAACCTTGACTTCTTTAAAAATTAACCAAAATTGAAATTTTAAAATGCTGTCGAGGTGTTTGGGACTCAAGTTGACCCCTTTTGTGCCAGACAAGAATTGTGCTCCATAGAACAGGCAGGAAGCAGATCGCCAGGGCTTGCTTCTGAGGCACCTAAGGGTGGTCTCAAACCACTGATCTGTTAGTTAGCTGCTAAGTGGGTTAACCCGTTCCCACCAGCCAGGGACGCAGGATACAGAGTCTAAATACCATTTATGTTCTTAACTACACCCCAGGGGCACGGGACATCGAGAAGGAGGAGGGCAGTGAAATGGCGCACGAAGTGGAAATGATAATAAAGCACAACAGATTTGTGAAAGAAACCTATGACTTTGACATCGCCATCATCAGGCTGAAGACCCCCATCAAATTCCAGATGAACGTGGCGCCCGCCTGCCTGCCAGAGAAGGACTGGGCCGAGTCGGTGCTGATGACTCAGAATAGCGGGTTCATCAGCGGGTTCGGGCGCACCCGTGAGAATGGCCGTCCGTCCACCATCCTCAAGATGCTGGAAGTGCCCTACGTGGACCGAAACAAGTGCAAGCTGTCCAGTAGTTTTCCTATCACTCAAAATATGTTCTGTGCAGGCTATGATGTCAAGCAGTTAGACGCCTGTCAGGGAGACAGCGGGGGCCCCCATGTCACTCAATTCAAAAACACCTATTTTGTCACTGGGATTGTCAGCTGGGGAGAAGGGTGCGCGAAGAAAGGGAAATATGGAATCTACACCAAAGTCACCTCCTTCCTCAAGTGGATAGACCGATGCCTGAAAGCCAAGGCCAGAAAGCCACAGCCTCCCTCCACTTGATCCCAACCGCCTTCTCCGCAGACGCTGCTTGCCACAATCCCTGCGGATCATTCCTATTAAAGGAATTCCACTCAAAACACCGGTGGTTGGCACTGGTTGGCAGTGTGTTTTGCTTTGCTTTGCTTTGCTTTGAAACAGGATGAGTCCCAGACTACATTTTCCTCCCTGTAATTATTCAAAACAAAAAGCAGATACTATCCATTCAATGCCAATTAAAGGTGGTGTGTGTGTGTGTGTGTGTGTGTGTGTGTGTGTGTGTGTAACTGAGGCAGTCATCTCTCAGAAGCAGATCACCAGGCCTTTCTTCTGAGGCACCCCTGGGAAGGATTCAAACTGTCAACCTTTCTGTTAGTAGCTGAGCACTTAACCATTGTGCTACCTGGTAGGGTCTTTATCCTAATGCTGGTCTTGCTCTACTGAATTGGAAACAGGAGTACAATTTTAACTCATAACACAACTTTTGCCTTCCCCAAGATGTCGTTCTCAATAGAGAACATTGTACTCTGTGGGGCTCTCCCTGATGGGGCCACAGCTGAAAACTGTGATCAGGGTCTTCCTTGCTTATAGAGCATTTTTTCTTTCTTGCTCTGATTTTCTTTTTGATTGGCCCAAGCTGCTCCACCTTGTCCAGCCATCCTTATATCATTTGCAGGGGCATTGGGCAAGATCGTCATGCACACTGATCTAAGGCAAGGATGGAATCAGGACCCAGCACCATGATTGGGGGCGTCTGCCATCCTGGGCGGCTCACTGGTGAGGTTGAAGGTTTCCCATGTGGGCCAGCATAGCCTCCCTGTCCCTCTCCCAGCTGGCCTGGGTTTTCCTCATTCACCTCGCCTGTAAACTAGACACAACAGTGGAAATGCTTCTACCAGGTGACTACCGGGTCCCTGCTTGGGTAAGGTCCGGAAAGCTTCTCGGGAGTATGATTGTTTCGATGGACTTCAACAGCATGTTCTCCATTCTGACTTCACATTAGAATTGATGGGATATTTATTAAAAATCACTAATGTCTAGGCCTCACCTTCAGACATTTAAGCTGACCTGTTTTTCTTAAAATTGCCACCAAAAGAAAGAAAGGAAAACTCACTACCATCAAATTGATTCTGGCTCATAGTGACAAGTCTGTACATTTTAATGGGGACAAATAGCCTCATCTTTCTCCAGAGGATCAGACACTGTATTTGAACTTGCGGTTAGCAGCATGATGCCTAACCCATAGTGCCACCAGAGTTCCTTAGAAAGAACACAGGGCCACTTACTGTGCAGTCACAATACTGGCATTGCCTCCTCTACACTCATCAGCTGCCTCTCTTACACATGGGTGCTCAGCTCTGACTGCACATCGCAGTCATCAGACTACAGCAAAAACCAAGCCTCAGGCGTCTAATCAATTCCAACCCATAGCAATCATATTGGACAGAGGAGAACTGCCCCATGGGAATTTCAAGGCTGTAAATCTTTAGAGAAACAAACTGCCACATCTGTCTCCGATGGAGCAGCTAGTGAATTTGTACTGCTGCCCTTTGGTTAACAACCAAGTGCTTTTTACCACTGTACTAACAGAACTCGTTGGCCACAGCACTGATCACTTCCCTGGGAATTTCCAAGGTGTGGCCAGAAGTTTTGAAAACGTTCAAAAGTTTTCCATGTGCAGCCAGTGTTCAAGGTAGAAGGTAAAAGATAGCATGTATACCAAGTTGTAGTTTGTATGTACCTGGTGGTGTAGTGGGTTGTGCATTGGGCTGATAACCAAGAGGTCATCAGTTTGAGTCCACTGAAGAAAAATGAGGTTTTCTACTCCCATAAAGATTTGCATTTTAGAAACCCAAAGGCACAGATCTACCCTACCCTATAGGGTTGCAATGAGTCAGAACGATTTGATGGCAGTGGCAGTGGTAGCAACCCTGTGGGGAGAAAGTCCTAGAGATCCATTCCCCGAAAGACCAGAGTCCAGGAACCCCTATGGCGCGGTTCTGCTGTCACATACTGTTACTATGACTTGATGGCATCTATCCACATCAACAGAGTGCAAAAGAGACCACCATGAGGGCTGTGCTCTTCCTACATCTAGAAAAAAACGATGCAAACCAGTTGTGTCATCCAGATGATTCTAATCCATATAGACTCCATATGTGTCACCAGAGAACCATACCCTCTGGTTTAGGGTTTCTGCTGGTTACTTTTTCAGAAGTAATTGCCAGATTTTTCTTTCAAGGTTATGTGTTAGCCAGGGTTCTCAAGACAAATGAAACCAGGACACTTATGATGACGATAGATTAGATAGATGATAGATAGATAGATAGATAGATAGATAGATAGATAGATAGATAGATAGATAGATGATAGATAGATAGATAGA